CAAAGATACTACTTTGAAAAACAAGAATATGAGAACATTTGTCTTATGTGTCCTTTTACAAAAGTCAAATAATACGTTTTGTGTGGAGATGTGGAGCTGTAGGGTTGAATTGGGATATGTCTTGCTGCAAAAGTGAAGAAAGACTTGTTTGAAAAGGCTCTGATCTCAGAAGTGGCATGTGAGTGTACAGTGCAGTGAGAAACTTGTATAAAGCATGAATTCATTAAACAGTGAATGTAAAAGTCTATCTTTGTAAGTAGGGCTTTGGGAGGAGGAGGAGGTGTTTTACAAGTAGATATCCTCATAGCTCTCCTGTGAGAGCTGAAAATGTTGTCTCTGTTTTAGATGTCTAGAAACTGAGGCACAGACACGTGCTTGGCTAGGGACCATAAAGCAAATAACACTGAAAGCCAGGACCAGAGCACCAGCGTCTGTGCTTCCGTCAAGTGCTCCAGGCTCTGAACCAGGCAGTTTCCTAGCTCTTGAGGAAAAAGCCCTAAATCTTTGATGCATTCATTCAGATGAATCGACCAGATTTTTGTATGCTGAAGGTGTTATTAAATAGTCTTTACCCAGCTCTGTTTGGACTTCTGCTTCTATGGCAGTGATAGACCTGCTCTTAATTTTAATTCTGGTCTGAGGGATTTCAGGACTTTTCTCCTGTCAATATTAAGATTTTATTTCTGTCCTTTCATTACTTATGACAGTAGTAAATGGCAGCAGTAATAAATACCCTATCTTTTTGACAGTAAAGCAGCCAACAGTGGTGCTCTCAGTTCAGTGTTAAATTCAGCCATGCTCTTAATATTCCCTTGTTGTAAACATCAGACTGCCAAATAGATATAAGTGATTAGCATGGGAAAACAAAGGAGGTGTATTCACTGCTTCCCACCAGTGGAAACATATTTGGCTTTCATCCTTGGTTCTCTGAAACCGAAGCAATCTAATAAATCTGCCTAACCAAGCTAATTCTGATTCCTTTGTGTCGTCTGTAAAAATCACAGTATTCAGAATTTAAGACCAAAGTCTGTGCTGCCAAAGGGCTGTTAACAGGAGAGGGAGGAAAAATGTGAACAGTTATTCTGCAGGAGGGAAGAGAGAACGTAGTCACTACAGTGGGAATTGCCTTTAAATGCTGATTTATACCATAATTGACACAAAGGACCTTCTCCCCAGCATGCTCTTGTATTTTTGCAGCCTGGAAGGAGGAGGTCTGGAGAGGGGCCATGGCCACACAGTCCTTTTTGACATTATTTAATGAAGCCTTCAAAGAATATAGGAACATTTGCTGCCATGTACTGTCTTAAGGGCCTTTCCTTTTCTCCTCCCATGCCACATCTCTTCCCCACTTCCCTATTCTTACACCTCCAAAACCCAATGCCTTTAAAGCACTCACCACTTAAAATCATTCCCCCCAGTCTTACTCTCTGTAAAATGAGGATAGTGATCCTTACTGCTTTGTACAAGACACACAAATAAGTATGGGCAAACTCGAGGAACTAATTTGATAATTAGCATTTCTTAGAAAAAACTCTGAAACCACTGTTTAAAATATTTGCTTTAGGAATCTATTTAAACGTGTTTTCTTTAATGAGTAAGTTGATGGCTCTGCTTGGGAGGGCAGATGCCGATGTGCCGGTAGAAACATCGTCCTGTTCTTCAGCAAAAACAATCTTTTAACTGTGGAATCTGCCATGCTTGTTGGCATTTATCCAGAGGCCAAATGTCACTTTATTGCAAGCTTTTTCTGAAGACTGAGAAAGATTTTCCGATGTTGTTCTGTAGAAGTAGAAAAGAAGATTAAAAGGATAGGATGGTACCCAAAATGATTGAGCTCGTTTTTTACAGACATTTTGAACAGTTCTGTGGTTGATTAAAATGGAATTTTCTTTTTTTTTTTTTCCCTCCTTTTATAAAGTCCTAATTCTTTATTGCCTTCTCCAATTTTGAAATTTAGAGAGGGGAAAAAAATAGGTACATTTGTAAAGTAAATGTAAATTCAAGATGTTGAATTGTGTACACTTTTTTATGGTAATGAATATATAGGAGGATTTCTTGGAGTTTTCTGTTGTGAATTGTTAATATTTCACAAATGCTGCATTTTAAAATTGCAGGTGAAAGTGCATGATTAGAATTATTTTCCAGCATTTTATAAAAATGGTGGCAGAAGGGCTCAGGGACTAGGTGGAACTATTAAAAACCTTTTTAGGATTTTGTTTTTTTCACCAGCGGGCTGGGTCTGAAAACAACCATTCATATGTCATCTCTTTGAAGCTGTTTTCTGTTCTTCAGGGCTGTGAATACACATCACACAACCCTCTGGTATAATGGAGCTTGATGTTTGGTATCAGTAAAGCTGTTGTCTTCACTGAGCCACAGTGTCTCCCGTAGTCCTGTTCTCATCACTAAGTCACTTGAAATCATGGACATTTTAGCTGAAGAGGATCTGTTAGATCATCCAGTCTGTGGTAATACAGGATTTTTGCTTCAGCAGACATCAGCCAGGAAAATTTTATGCTAGTGCTGCTCATTTGGTGTGTTCAGCAGCTAAATGAAGGGCCTTGTTCTCTTTGGGTGTCAGCTGCCTGCCACCTTAAGTATTAAATTCAGTCTCTTGACATGTACACGTGTGTGCATGTACACACCAGAGCAATGCATCGCATGTACACACCAGAGCAATGCATCGCTTATCGAAGGCTTCTCCTGAGGAGCATGAGCACCTTCATCTTTGAACATGTACCAGTGCACATACATGAATGATGAAGTATTGAAGTCACTGACAATGTTATAAGCTGTTAGCTGGTGTTAGATTTCAAGGGCAGCCAGTGCGGGAGGCCATTTGAAAGGTGACGATATCTCCAAAGTATCTCCAGAGGCATAGACGTTGACCTCTTGGTTGTAAACACCTGCACAGGAGAGCTTGGGGCTGTGAGTTACAGCATCTGTGTTCTCCTGAAAGCCACCCACAGGTCCAATAAACCAGGGGGAGACTCTTTAGAATCTGTTTAAATATGCATTAAAGATGCCCTTTAAATAATAATAAATTCCAAGCTTTAGTTCTTCGAAATCATAGTTCGCTACTATATCACAGGCTGGAAGATTGTGCATGTTAACTGTCACATCTCACGTGAACGCATGAATATGTGCAATAAAGAGGTTGTGCGGAAACATAGATGGCTGCTAGGAGAGGCTGTGTGTCAAGTAATAATCACTGAACATTTGTTGGTCGCCCACACCCCCCCCATGTATGTTCCTTTACTCATTGTGTCTATTATTATTATTATTATACTTGTATATTTTTATTATAAGAGTGCATTTGTTACTGTTTCATATGCCCTTTTAAACATCTGTTGTATCTTTAGGACTGTTGTATTATTGTGCTTTTCTGTTCTAAAACACAAAGATCAGCTCAGATTGTTAGCCGTGCTGCTATTATGTGGTCAATGTTAATGTTTTGAGCTTCTGAAATTAATGAAATATGCCTTACTGGTATCTGACAGCTGTTTTTTACTTTGGTTTTAGAATTATTTGTATTTAAGTAGAATGTAAAATTAATATCTTTTGTCTGCAGAGCTGTTGTCTAAAGGTTGTGGTTTGTATTTAATGAACATATTTGTTTGATTACATCTTCAAAAAAAAAAAAAAGAAAAAAATTTGATGTGTCAATGAAATTTTCTCCCTCATATCCTTCCTTTTCTATTTTAATGATCAAAGTGTTTTAATGGATATTTGTGATTTCTTGATGAAAAGTAGAGCTAATAACTGGGTTTGGTTACAGTGCATCTAGAAAAGCAGTGATGCTGGATGAGCTTAATGATGGTTCTGAATGTATCAGGTATTTTACCACTGGCTTCAGTGCAAAACCATCTCCCTGAATATTAAAGTGTTTTGTGTTTAAGTACCGACATCAGAAAAATTTTACTGACTTCTCCTCCTTGTAGGCAGATGAGAATGGAATTTGAACTATTAAAAATACAGGTGCAACATGGTTCATATCTAAAATCAAACCAAACAAAGCTAATATTTATTGAAGTGCTTTTGTACTGAAGGCAGAGGACTCCAAATCTGAATGCATAGAATTGCTTTCTGTCTGCCTTAGAGTGTGGACAGGTAATCAGAAACATTTGAATTACTGTAAATTAATGAATTATCACTTGTCTCTTAAACCACAATAAGTGACCATACCTTTACAACTCGGGCTGTGATTGAGGGTGGTGGTGTTTTTTTTGTCATTTTCTCATATCTTCACTACCTTGCTGCCTGTGGTCATGCCAGTCTTTGTGGGACTGTGCAGTGAATCAAATCAAAAAACAACCTAGGACAAGGAGGTTACAGTCCAGCTCAGTTCCCCTCCTGCTTTGCTGCGTGGTGCCCAACAGTTGTAGAAACACAATGGAAAGGTAGATTTGCATGGGAACAGAGATGAAGCTACATTTTTGTCCACAGACACATGTAAAAATATGGGCTCAGCCCATTATAATAGTGTATGAAAAAAGTACATTGGCTTAAACTGTGTGGGATGCAGAGAGTACATGTGACCAAGTGGTTTCAAGCTGTTTGTGGGGTTTTTTAACTTTGCATTTGCAATGGGCTAGAAGAATAAACAAGTTATTGCCATTTGGCTGATGGATTGTAACTTCTTGATAATTGTTCTTGTGGTTGTGTGCTCATAGCAAAAGAGTCTGTGATCTTTGACGAGTTGTTTAGCATTTCTGTACAGCATTTAAGAAAGCAAAAGTGCATGTTAATTAATGCTTGTACAGTAATGGTCTAAGGTCCTCTGCCTTGCCACCTTAGACTAGAGATGGCAACAGCAATATGTCTAAAAACACAAGGAAGTACTGTATTTAAAACACCAAAATTACCGTGGCAATTAAACCATACTGCAAACCCAGTCAGAAACTAAACTATCAGGAATGTATTTGCCTCTTACCAGTCATTTTGGGGGATCCACAAATTATATAGTAATGTGTATTGTTTTACGCTTTGCTTTTAAACAGAGCAGAAAAGCTCCAGTTGCTTAACCACAGGCCTGTGACGGCAGTTGAAATACAGCTGGTAAGTAACAATGCTCCTGACTGTTCAAAGCTTAAATGAAAGCAGCTTTAACCTTGAAGATCAATTGAGTAATTACTTTCTCATGGTCAGTGATTGAATGTATCCCTTTATGCACATCTTTACATTCATGGTTTCAAATCCACTCTGCTTCCTCTCTGAGACCTCCTTAGAGACTTGCCCATCGTTCTCTCAGACAGATTCTCCACCTCTGTTTGCTTCAGTATCACATATTGAAAATGCCCAGTGCAGCCATTAAAAGTTAGTTACAGTATTGTGAGTAAGAATATATTTAACCTGAGTTGTCTTGTTGCTGCTCTCTAATAAAGTACTTCACTTTTTGACAGCTGTGATGACATGGTGGTTTTGATGGCAGATTTTTATGTTATAGTAAAACCAAGCATGCTGAAAAGGAGCGAGTAATGACTGATACGGAATTTTGAGCAGTGGTGCAGAATGAGAAATTGATATAAACAGACTTTCTGATGGAAAGTAGCCATTTTCAATCTGTTAAACGTAATTCTGATGTAAAGAGGGATTGTCGCTAAATAGAAATAGATGGTTATATTCTCTAAAGTATCTCCTTAGGAATACAAAATCCTTTGGTAATAAAGATTATTATAATAAGGATATTCTTTTAATAAAGATTACATTAAGAACATCTGTTTACAATCTTATCCTGAAACCAAACTATGTAGTAACAGGATCATATTTTGCTGAAAAAAAGCGAAGGATTAAAGAGGTACCAATAGGACTATTTTTCTTTCGTAGCCAAGGAGTAGACATTATAATGCTGAAGGCGTCTCATTAAAAAAAATGCTTCTAGCTGAGGAATTAATACTGTGTTTTGTGATTGAAGAGATCAGTGTCACTCATCAACCCAAGCAAGAGAATTAAGGCTTCATGAGTTTTGCTTAGGAAGTTAGTCATAAGTGATGATGTCGAGCCTGTCTCATACCTTTGCTAGCTTCATGTGCTTACATGCAGGTTTATTATATTCTCATATAGGCCATGTACGGTCTTTTTTTCCCTTTTGTTCTTTAAATGCAATAATCTTTTGCTGCTTTCAGGTAACCGTGTGGTTTTGTCTGTCTTTTCCCCCTTCCTCTCATTACTCTAGCTAGTTCCTCGTTATCTTACCTATCTATAAAATATTGAAAATAGTTTTGCTACTGTATCGTGTTTGAAGTCCAGGAGGCAAGTATAAGAAATTTGGGTGTTTGTATTAGAAGTCAGGTTTCTGTAGAGTGTCGTACTTTAGATATTCCAAGGTTTGTAATGTCAAAGTTGGGTATAACTCATTGCCAAAACTTACAGAATACAGATACAAGATTTGAGTTCAGTGTCAGTCTATTATTGATACGTAACCCTTCTGTAATGATCAAAAGCAACTTGTGAAAAATGTCATAGTCATACTTTTACTGAATTTGTATCGTCATGGAAGTATTGGGGATGCAGTTACTTCTGTTCCATTGCGATACCCCTGCAATTCCCAGGGCAAGTTTCTCCAAAACTAGTATTACAGTAATCTAAGTTGACTGGATTGTTAACGCTATGTTAAAATAAGCCTCCTCAAAATTGCTGTACATTTACTCTTTCATCAAGGCACATCAAAGTCTTTTGAGCTCAATAACTGCTAGGAAACTGCAGACCATTTTTGTTAGTGAAATACAGAGAGTAGGAGCCGTAGCAAGGAAATGATTTTGCTGTTTGATTGCTATCTTGAATCATTTTTGCGTTCGGTGAGGACGGGGAAGGAGATTATAGCAGTGCAGTACCTTTGAACACACAAAACCTCTGTCTTCTCTGAGCATCTTTGAGTATAAAATAATGCAGAGCCGTGGAGGCTGCCAGCATTTTCTTCTTTGATGTTGGTAGGGAGAAGATTACCCGTATATAGATTTCATGCAGGCAAGTCAATTCACTGCAGTCGATGGATGAGAGACAACCTACAGAGAAGTGAATACTAGGTCTAAAATTGCCTTGATTCTCTTTTCATTGAATGTGTCCCTGCCACTCAAAAGCTTTGAGTCGCTTCTGGAATTGGATCAGAAATAAATCATGAAAGCCTTTCCAGCTTTTTGGTTTTTTACTTTCCCTCTATAAAATTCGCTGTCTTTAGTTGTATGCAAACAAGAAATCAATTTTGATAAAATTATATTTAAGCTAAAAAGCAAATTTATGTTGTGATCTTTTGATCTGAAGTTCTTTTGTAAGTCTTTATGCATAAATTGCTGTAATTGTTCATATTTGTCTTTTCTGGACTGTGTGCCAGGATTTATTTTCAAACAACAATAACAACAAAAGGAGCATGAAATTCTAATTCATATCCCACAGGGTAAAACACTGTACACATTGCAGCTATCTTGACCTCCTGTTTTAATCTTTAACATATGTTGTTCCTGGCTCAGTGATTCACAAAGGAGGAAAAAAAAGACAGTGATGTTGATCTAACCATGACAGCAGTCCAGCTTTACTTAATGTGGAACTGTGATGGGTTTGAAGATTAAGCATCATCTTTTCTAATGAACAAATTGCTCCACATTCTTCTCTCTGAATGGAAAAGTAGATTTTAATTCAGTGCTTTTTAAAACTAGATTTCCATCTCTGAGAGCTTCGTACCTTGTGATACGTGCTCTGCATAACCAGCCTGGCAGATTGTCTTTTATTGTTGAATAGAAAATAATAATGTAAAGTATTCTCCTGGAAAATGGAAGATATTAGAGGATTTACACATGTTATTCTCTCAACAATGTATTTTGCTTCTCACTTTGCACGCTTGGTTAATTATCTCTGAGGGATATTAATCCAATCATTCAGTCTTTCACTTTATTTCTTTTTTATGTGCTTTTTTTCTATTAGCATGGTGGTGCTGAACAATTTCAAATTACTGCTCAAAGGAGGAAACAGCAGTCATTTTTCTCATAAAATATGTACCTCCTACACTGAAGTTAAATTATGTGCTTCATAGCTTTGGAAGTGATCAGAGCCCCTATTTCCTTTTTTACTGTAGTTTACTGATTATTTTTTAAACAGAATTCTTAGCTTATTATTCAAATAAACAATAGCTTTTAACCCACAGATTGTTCTGTTTCGTGATGCTGAGGTTTGTTACCCATGAAATATTACTTATCCTTGAGACAGTGTCCCAGTTCTTTCAGAACTGTTTAGGGTTCTTCAGTGTAGCTTTATTTATTCTTCAACATTTGCAGTGTATTGTCATGTCTCAGGAGGCTAAATGAAATAAATATTAGTATTGAAATCTTAAAAGAAGCACAGTGAGGATGATGAGGTCTCTTATACTCTACTTTTAATTGGGTAAGCAGAAAATATGAGGTATTGTTATAATTATGGAAAGCATGTTCCTAAAATGTTTGTCCTTGTTTCACTGAGTTTAAAAAAAAAAAATAGACAAGTATGCATGTGTGTGTATATATATGTCTATGTTCATATTTTGTGCTTACATGTGTACATGGCACTATGAACATACAGATCTGTACGTTCATTTTATGAATAAACACTTTAATCTTTGAAATTATCTTGACAGGCTAGCTATTACTTTCTGATTTACCTTCTTGATAAATAAAATCTTTAAAAGCTTCTGAAAATTACTTTCTGCCATGAGAATTTGTCAGCAGGTTTTAATGTGTCTTACTGCTTAATGTAATTCTGTTACTATGTTCTGATTTGGTAATCGTGGTTCTTTTGTTCCTCTGAGAAATTCATACACAGTGCTCAATTAAAAAAAGCTACTGTTAAAATCTGCAGCTGGAAAAGGCTACATGGTAGTAAAATATTCCACGTACACCTTTGTTTAATAAGCACAGCTCTGGTTCCCAGTAGCAGTTACGTTACTGAGCAAGGTGTCTGCCAGTGTTTAATTCTGCAGTTGGCGAGCGATTTGTCTTTTCATTCTCTTGTAGCGAGGTTCAGTGATGGATGTTGGATGCATGTTTTATTTTGCTGTATTAGAAAGCCCAGGCATAGATGTATCTGGAGAGGCAGAACAGAATTGGCATCCTTTTCTTGATGTATTCTCCCTCTCGTAAATGTTTGCTGAATTTAAAGCTTAAAGTCCAGTTAAGTTAGTTGAGCCTCTTGAGTACTTGAAATTAAGTCAATACATAAGCGGTGGCCTAACTGTTGTAGGTACAGGGTGCTTAAGCAGGTGAAAAATTGGTTGTTAGACTCCAAAATAAAGGTAGCATTGCTCTTAAAGGTAAGCAGTACTGTGGCTTCACTTGCCTTCTGAATATTTATGTATTCCACAGTTCTGAAGATCTGGCTGTTTTTATCACTACATTTGTCAATAAAGTAAGAAGCAACTCCAGGTACTCAGGCTTGAGAAGTATATGCTAGCTGCAGGGGGAACATGCCTCCTCTTTTGTAGCTGTAAGGATTTTATGCCAATAAAGTTTTCGAGCGTCCTTCCTTGATTCCTTCTTTGGTCATCTTGTAGATGATATTGTTCAGAGCATTAGCTGGGGAGGAAATGAAATGTGAAAATTGCTTACTCTATGAATATATTGCAATTGGAGTTTAGTAACTAACTAGTTTAAGTGAAATAGAAGTTATTATTGAGACCTGACTTGATGGAGTTGATCTTGACTATGTAGTTGCATTTCACAGAAAATCCATACTGTGTATATGTATGAATGCCACTGATATAACATTTGCTACAAAAACTCTGTAGTTATTTTGGGACAGTATAGACTTGAGTGCTGAAAAGCAGTAACAACTTGGGAATTATTTATTACAAGAAGCAGCATAGCTGACACGGCTTACTGCCTTTCTCTTGTGTTCATTTCAAGCAAATGCTTGCTCTCCGCCCTGAGAAGGAGACATGCACGTCTTGCTGCACATCAGGGTGCTTTTTATCTATAAATTGTGTTACTATAACATTGTCCAATTCTGTTACTTGCACAAACCCCTGAATATTGAAAATACACAGTTCAGCAGAGCTTTGGTTGATAATACCCTATGCTTTGCACATGGCATCATCTGTTGGGATAATCTGTTTCTATTCGGTGTGTGTACCACTGCCAACATAAACATCTTATGTCATATGCTTATTAAAAACATTTGCATTTTTGTTTTCCTTAGTATAAACTTCACATTCCTGGTTGCTTATGGTTTGAATCTGTTGCTTGAGGAGTTTCAGCCAATTGCAAGTTAGAGGTTAGCAAGGCTTTTTCATAGATATTTTTTCATATATTGGTAAAATTCTTGCCGGAAAAGTAGGTACTTGAATACAATTGGGGTTTTTTGCCCCTTAGGCTTTCTCTTACACATAATTTCTATTCTGAGCATCATAATGTTATTTCCTAGTAGTATCAGTAGCAACGGTATTTTGTCTTACAGTTGTGAATCAGAAGATTGTGTGAACATCTGTTGAATCTAGAGTAAGCCTCTGAGTGACCTTCTGTTTCCCTCAATATCTGTTTCGCTTTAGGACAGTTTCATTTGTCTCTTTATCTACATGCTCGCTGTGCCTAATTTTTTGAATTTTTCCTTTTGGCATGCTACCTTGCTGCTTCCTAACTGCTTACGTTTTCATAAGTCGCTGCTCAGGCTGTTTCCCTGAAGAGTGAAAAAAATTGATTCTTATAGCTTATGCTTTTGATCCTTTGAACTCTTGAATAGTATCACAGCAAAATAGTGCTGGAGCATCATCTGGAATAATAAGCTGTCCATCCTGCCCAATGTATGTCTATTTTTTGTCTATCAGTAGCTCCTGGTGTGAGAGCTGGCAGTGAGAGTACATGGCTCAGAGGCACCGAGAGGTGAGCCCTTCATGAATTTGATGCAGTAGGTTAAGGAATTACCGCTTCCCACTGGCAGAGACTACAGATCTATTAACAGAAGGGAATTTGGAGCTGCATTACCCACTCCTCAGTGCAGCATCTGACATCTTTCTTTAAAAATGCTTTTCTCAACAGTTTAATGAGACATCAGTTACACCACCAAAGCATCTGAAACATGAGAGACTATTTTCTTTCATCAACTTTCTGGTAAAGTGTGGTTTCTTAAACTGCCAGAACAGTCACCAGAGCTCATCTGTCAATGTCCTGAGTCATATCTGCAGTTTGTCGGTCGTGAAGGCTTCCATGTTCAGCCAATATAAATGACAACAGCATGATTGTTCATGCTGAGTGTTGGGGCATTACTCATTCAGCACTGGGGAGGGAGCAAGTAAGAAGCAGTGAGTAGGCACTCGTGTAAGAATATTCTTCCTTCAATGCAGAAGTTGAGAAGAGCTGATGCTGATCTAGAAATCACTCTGTATTACCTGTTTTAAGTTCTGATCAAGTCCTTGCGTTTAACTCTGGCTACCTGAAGCAAGCACCTAAAGGAGAAAGTGTTTGGAGGAGAAAGGGCAAGGAGATATTTATAAGGAGGGATAACATTTAAATGGGGAAGAGGGGTGTACTTCATGGGATCCAATAAATCAAACCTAAACTAGGCAAGGTGCCATTTTTCTGAAGATCGGAAAGCAGCGGGATGATAATGAATGCGGGAGACATTGGCCACTAAGAGCTAAATCATTCTGCCTTAAGTGATACTGCCTGTCCAAAGGATGTGGGCTTTTTGTTTGTACAGTTCCTGCTGCTATGGGGCTGTCACCTTTAAAATTCAGTGTAACAGTAATTAATAACACTCTAATCCAGTCCAAAAACCAGGCTGATAATCCTTTACAAAACTTAATAGCATAGGTCATCTGTAGAGTAATGGCTTTGTTAGCAGTATTGGCAACAAAGAGTGTATGTACGCACTGTAACACACTTGATTGTATGATGTTGATGCTCCAAGGTACGCTAGTCAAGCTGCTGAGATGATTACTCCTGAAATGCAGCCTAGCAAGCAATTACCTGATACCGCTTCAGGAGCTGCAGCAGTTGCTTACACAGAAGGGTAACGTTAGGAGGATTTTTAGTATATTTTAACACATAGTGTATAGTATAGCAGCTGTGGGTAATGAGAGCCAGGGCTGTTTTTCAAGCCAGGGTCCTACAGTCGTTCTTGAACTAACCGTACTTGGAAAGCCATTCCACAGAGAATTTCGTCCTTTGATCAGGATGGTTCCCAGAAACAGTCATTTGCAAATGGATATTCACTGTCTGCCTTTTGCTGCATGAGTGGATTCTAGCGTGCTCGCATTCCTCTTGTCGAGGATCTGTGGATAATGGCTGATGAAAGATGATCAGATTGTGCAAAGAGGGCTCATAAGACATTGAAGGAAAAAAAAAATTAATTGAATGTACCACTCTGTTATTTAGAAGGCAAGATGCATCTGAATAGCTGACAATTTATAGCTAGAACTGATTAAACCTGCATTGACTTGGAACCATAATTAATATAAATCACTGCTCTTCAAAGGACATTTTAAAGGACTTTGTATAAAAAAGAAAATCTCTAACCCCGCAAACCTAATTGGTTTCATTTGCGTTTGAAGAGTTCTTTTTGGCTCGCTTTTCCAGTCCTCTGACAAGCTTTTCCTTTTAACAGCTGCCTATAAATTAGGGCAGTTGTTTTTACTGGTAGCAGTGATATAAGAGTTCCCACAGCTCCACAGTGAGAGCAGGTCCCTAACTAATCTTCTGGAATTTTATTGTTGATTCCTGACAGCAAGTTTTGTGTTGCTCAGAGCTTTTATACGCCTTTATATTCATGAATCTCACAATCCAAGCAAATTCCAGTGAAGTATAGCTGCTGTAGGATTAGGTGGTTTCTTTTATGGCCTGATTACTTATAGTCTAGGTGCTCGATAAGTACCAAGGTTCAGGTAACCACTCTCAGGTTATCTCATTTCAGTTTTCGCATGAAAGCACAGGAACTTAGGAAAATAGTTCTGGAAGGTAGGTCTGCACGTGTGCTAAATGAAAGGCCTGGCTCAAGATACTGAGCTGTCGGTTGAGAGAGGCTTTAGGAGAAACCGGGGAGGAAAGCCTGTTCTGAGTGTGGTGTTTTCCGTGTTGTGAAGAAAGCAGGGTCTCATTATGGAATGCCAATTGTAGTGGTTAACAATGGAGCTCTTCTTTCTTTTTTTTAAGTATTGTAAGAGTTACACTTTGTAAAATGCTTTTGTAATGGGCTCGGACTGTGTCTTGCATCCATTGAGAACAGTATTTCCCAATTAGTTGAGTCTCTCTATTTGGAGCTGAGGAAGGAAGTATGGATTTCATGATTACAATAGATTGTCTTTTGACCTGCAGATGGTAGAAGAAAGCGAGGAAAGGCTAACAGAAGAGCAGATTGAGTCACTTCTCCAGACAGTCACCGGTATTCTTCCAGGGGATCCGGAAGAACAACAGAGAGACTCGGCAATGGCAACCGAAGACAAAGGTGACCAAGCATAGGAGGCATCTAGACCAAAGCTGGCAACAATTTCAGCAGAAAAGAATCAGCTAATATTTTTCTGGTTTTTACTTGATACCGGTTTAATCTTGTATTGGACATCATTGTAAAATATGTTACAATTTTTATTACTCAGAGATGATGAGAGAACCAATTGTTTACAAGAAAGCATGGAAAAGGACACTATTGTTTTGGCATTTTGTGATAAACAGGGATGGTAGTCGCTGAGTTTGTAATGTAGCAGTCTGAGAAATTACGGGGCATAGAATCTGAAGCTTTTATATTTTTTCCATTACCCATATAACAGCTGTACATTTGAATAGGCTTACATACAGCTGGCAGTGTTTTAATTATCACAGCAGTACTATAATTATAATTACTTTCATACGCTTTTGAATTGCCCAACTGGTTTTTAGAATACGGTCTGCAATATAAAGCCAACTTTTGGAGCCGTTTGTGAAAACGGCTGTTTTCAGCGGTCAGAACATCGAGTAATGTACAAGAGCTGCTTGGTATCTGGCCAGACAATTTCAAGTAGGCTGTTGGCATCATGGAAGTGAGAGGATCTGTTGGTAGGGTAACTGTTGTCAAGGACATCTGGCAGTCCATGCTTGATAAGAGAGATCCACATCATCGGCTAAATGAACGTATTGCCACTGAAATCAGCTGAGTTGGACCAGTTTACAGACAGCAGTTGAGGCTCTGGACTCAGATGTTAAGGCTCTTAGTAACACAAACAGAAGAACATTTAGGCTTGAGATGTCTATTTTCCCTTTGAAGGTTTGTTCCAATATTTATATAGAGACAAGTCACAGTGTTGTGTAAATGCTGTCGACCGTGGAGTAAATGAATGAGTCAACACTAAAGTAAGTCCTAATCTGGTTTAGAAGAATGAGAATCAGTCCTGGTTGAAGCAGAATTTTCTGTGTACTGTGCTTTTGTCTGATTAAAGATTTCAGGATCAAGTATTTAATGTTGAAAGCATTGATGATTATAATAAATCATTTGTGCATATATAGATATATATACACACAAAGTCATGAGTTACACATGACACTGGTTTTATACTGTGACTGCAGACCGTTCTTTTGTAATTATTATAATGTACTGGAAATAGAAATAAAGTTTGAAGTACATCCTGGGAATTTTGTGGCTTATAGACAAGATATAAGACCTTGAATCAGAATATCTGACTTTTTTTTTTTTCCCCCTCCCACTTCTGTCATGGTTTTATTTTGTGGTTTTATGCAAAGAATTTACGCTTTCTGAGGTTTAGTTGTGCCATATATGAAAGGGAATGATAACTTCAGGGTCTGAGGGATTTATGATACGCATTTCTGTGGTAATGTAAGCTTCTTTGATGTTTGGAGAGGAAAGGAAATTACTGGAAAATATATTTGTTACCTCTTAAAAGATAATTTATCTTATATTAAATGCATTCCAAGGCTGAAGACTACATGTGTTTTGACTGGGTAAGTGTAGTATTAGAGGGGGACAGTCCTTGGTGGTTCTTGTGGTACATCAACATGTATTTTCTCTCTAAATGTACAACAAAACCAAAGAGATAAGTAGATCGTATCATGGAATGACGTGCAATTAATTTTAAAATCAGCATTTTTATTCTTAGCAGTCACTGATGTTGTTTGATATGCTGTGGCCTTGGGCTGCAAGTGTTTACATTTTTATCTGTCTTTTTCTAAAATTAAGTTATTGAAGCATATTCTAAACTTATGAAAAGCAGATGGAACCAGGTCGCAAGTATCTTTAGCCAGCAAGAATATTGTAAGAGATCTCTGAATTTGGATGTTCCATCTTGGGAATTGCCGATTTGTTATCGTAATGGATTTTTGCCAGCGTCTGTGTTGTCTTCTGTTGTATGCGTGTTGTACAAGATACAAGAACTATTGTATTTAACCTTTTTATCAAAATCAGTTCCAGATGGATACGTATATTAAACTTGTGCAAATGCATGGGTATCTTGTTCAGTCTTAATTAAGACACATAAATTATAATTTCCCTAAAAATGCAATACTAAGTAACATCTGAAGGGATCTGGGATTTCGACATCTGCATTACATCAAGAAATAATTTTTAAATCTCCTGTCTGTGCTCTCTGACCATGTAAGTACAGGTGAGGAATTACTCTGGCTCTGAGAGCAGGTTTCACGTTCTGTTGTTTACTCTTGGGTGTGTTCTTTGGAAACCTGAGAGTCAGAAATGGTTTATGGAAAGCAAATGTCATCTTGCTTAAGTGACACCATTTTTCCGGTCCTATATATTACGTAAAAGATCTGCCTGTCTCCCAAGGTTGCTTTTTGTTTTCTTAACTAATCAGTTACCTAACATGACAAATGTACTCTTCTAGTTCTTTTGAAGGAGAGAAGATGGCATGAAGAGAGTGGGCCTCTGATGTGTCGTGGGTCCAAAAAGGCATACGTGCGTATTGGGCACTTAAAAGCTCGGCCCCTAGTTTTGAGAAGAAAAGGGCAGAGTACTTGGCACTTTCTGAATATGTAGGAAGTGCGTATTACTTTTAGCTTTCTCATTTCTTATGTGTTCCTCACTTTTATTCTGTAGGGCACGTTGGGGTCTTGGGAGAAAGGGGGAGCGAGCTGCCAGGATCCCTCTGCTGTTTTGATACGTTAAAATACCTGGGGTTTCTCTTTTCATAAATTCAAGCCCAAGAAGGCCAGATTTCTTTAGAATTGTTCGGCAGCCGTCGCTGGAGAAGCTTTATTAGAAGAAGCTTTGTTTTACGGTAAGAGAAGGAGCTGCTGCTCCTACCTGGTGGTGCTCTGGTGCTAGGAAAGGGAAATAGAGATAGAGGTGTCCGCAGGGAATTTTGTAGAAGATGCAGGAAATCCCTACCGATGACCTGGGCGGCTTTGGTGGTGGTCACGCCGTGGCAGGGCTGTGTACGAGGCTTTTGCCCAGCACTGAAATGCAGAATTTGACAGGAAAAGGCTTGCAGGGAGCGAAATGCATTTTGGTTGTCTGTATTTGTGGGGTGTATTTGCTGGATAGAGATGTGTAGTCTTAATTAGAAAGAGCAAACTCAAGAACTTGGAGTTTTGTTTTTCTTCTGAAGCATGTTTTTGGGGGGGCAGGTTTTCTTCTGAAGCATGTCTTTAAACAACACTAAAGTAGTACATTGAAATGGCATTCAAGCCTGATGTGTCGGTGTGCTGAAGGGCTTAAATAACATTTACAGAGTATCTTGAAGTTTAAAAGTGTTCATACAAATGTTTTTTAGAAGGGTCCTGTCATAAACAGTTCTCTAGATAACTTTTTACTCACTAAAACATCAGTCACAGACAAGCTATTGCTTTTGAAGGCAACCAAACCGGGCTGATTTACACCGGGTGAGAATCGTGTCCTAAAATAATTAACTGGTCCCATCAGGATATGGCGTCGGGGGGGATGTCCGCAGCTGCTGTAATCCTAGCAGACCCCTGACACACAAAGAATAATCAAACTGGACATATTTTTGAAACTGTCATACCTTAGAAGAAATAAAGTCGAGAAATTTAACTGGAACTCAGCGGAGTTGTTGCAGACCGAAGGCAGCCTGTGCCCTGGAGCAAATTACTGCTGGTCCCAGACCTGTCTTGGGGGCCGCTCGGAGGGAGCGGGGTGAGCTGGAGGCTGCTGAATTCGTACCTTCCTCTTCACCCCCTTGGAAGTACGAGTGTCTCCCAACTGACACTTGAAGGGCGAAGACTTGGTTGACCCTGCTTGAGCAGCGGGGGGGTTGGACGGGAGCTCTGGAGATCGCCTAGTCCAACCTCAGGGTTTCTGTCAGTCTGCTTTCCCTTCTGCTGTGGCCTCGGGATGTTCTCGTTTGCTGGCTCAGCGTGGAGGCAAAGGCTGCTCTCGTTAAGAGCTGAGACGCAGCGGATGGGGGCTTTCTCCGTTGTCCCCCTTTTCCATCCATGCCTGGTGCCGTGCGGCCCCTTTGCAAGTGGGTGCTTGGGGCTCTGGCACGGCGCAAATACTTTTATTTCTGGGATGTTGACAGAGAAGGGGACAGTCTTGCGAGGATGGCAGCAGGATTTTGTGTGGTCCCTGTGGTTTCGTCAGTTGCTTAAGCCTGAAATCGGAGTTGATGAAGTTGCTCTGCGTTAGCAGCGTGTCCTGCGCATTGCAGCTACAACAGCGAGTTGAGTCTGTTCCAAAAGGGGCTCCTCTGCTATGAAGGATGTGTCCCAGGATGCTGCTGGGATAAGATGGTGTTTCAGTGTGAGCTTAATCACAGTTTTGTCTTGAGTTTTGCTTAATGTTACTCCACGGGGCCAAATTAATCTGTAGTTCCTCTCCACTGCCTTAAATTTGGCCTGAAATACAGAACCATGCAGTCAGTCATGCTGGCTGTGCTCGGCCCCTCCGAGTCAAGCCATGGGGGAATTAACCCAGCCCAAACTGGGATTATTCTGGATCCTGGTTTTGAAACTCACAAATTTTTCTGTACTGCGTTTTCTATGACTAAACTTTTTATTGCCTCTGCCTCCCTGGGGTGGCAGCTCTTTGCCTTGGTAATGTGCAAGGAGCACGTTCTGCATCCCAGAAAATGCTTCGCTTCCCAGGCATGGCATCCGCTTCCCTGTGTTTGGACACAGGCTTCGAAAGCACCGGTCTCAACCGGGAGCTGCTGTTGTTCGAGTGACTTCTGAAACGCTTTGGGCTTTGACAGGGGAAGGGGAGCCGGGGGAGCCTGTGGGTGCCTCGGCCTGGCCCAGATGGGGCTTTTCCCACTTTTCTTTCTTCATTTTCCATCTGCTACCCATAACCAGCCTTTTCCAGCCTGTTCCTGGTACCAGCTCCCGGAGCGAAGGGGATGCCTCGAAGGACAACCTGCAGAAGGAGCGTGAAGAAGATCTTTCATGCCTGAGAACAACTCCGGATTTTTGGAATTGTACCAGTTGGTGTAAACGACATAGCGTCTCGCCTCGTGAGCTTTGCCTCACTGATAAGAACATCTGTGGTTATGAAATGTTCCTGGTAA